GAAGCTCAAGCGGCCGAGGAATCCAGGATTTGTAGACATGGCCAGGGTTGACTATTGGATGTGTATTTTGTTTCTTAGGATTCTTCTTGAAATGTGAAACTTGGTTCACTATCACGAGTAGTATTATGAGTCATTTCGGGGTGCTATAGCCCCGGATATAGAGTAAGATTATATCCTCCCTTTGGGCATGGTATTTGGTGAGAAGAACATAGCCTTACTAGGCTCAACCGCCACAACAAAGCTACTCACATGCAAACGTTGCTACACTAGTTGGGAACCCCAGTACGTTCGCGCTAAGATTGGAGCTGAGGAAGCTCTAAAGTGTAAAGGTTGGTGGTGGACAAAAGTTTGACGTGCGCCTGCCCCAATCCCAATAAGTGACGATGTCTTTTTCCGTGTGGCTCCAGGAAGTGCATAACCCCCCCAAAATTGAATGTTTGCCTTGCATACCCCCAACACATACTGTCTGGTGCCAGGAACCTGCAAAAGGGCGCCTCTAAGTTGTTTTCCGCCGAAGCGGAACAACCAACATGGCTCGGCACATCTCAGGAAAGAAGCTCCCTGTACGCCCGCAGGGGATTCCAAGGTAGTATAGAAGCCTGAATCGTTTGACGCTCCGTTTGGGCTCCAAAATTACAGCAAAGCAAGCAATAACACCTGTGTAGGTTCAGTTTCCATTTCACATCCCTTTTTCTTTTCCATCTGATTACTAGGCCTCTACATTGCAATGCAACAAGCAACAACACCGGTGTTGGCCCAGTTTCCACTTGATGTTCCATTTCTTTTCCATGTGATTCTCCACCATCCTTGCGGCAGAACATTGGGAGGATCCAAAAAGGTAGATATCGGTAGGTTCGCGTCCACTACCCTTTGATGATTACTAGACCCTTGCAGAACTCCCCAAGCACTAAACCCCAAAGCTTAAACCCCAAGCCCAAGTCGTAGACCCCCAACCGTAAGAAAGGAGGGCGACCCGGTCATCTCCACATTCACACGCCGTTTGGACCGCCTGGCGCTGTCCCCAGAGAATCGCAAGGTTTGGGGTTTGGGGTTTAGGGCTTCTCGCCGAGCAGCGGCAATGAAACTTCTTGCGACGGCACGTCCCAGATTAAAACTCCAACAACAAGAACTTTTGTGTTGGCTTACTCCTCCCACCTCCGTCCCAACTGCGCTTCACATTTTTCAAGAACCTTTTCTGAACATGATAGTGTTTCTGCTGCCAGGGTATTAGAGACCGGCTCGCCAAACAGCACTTATCACGCCATGCTCGCACTCCCACAGTGATGCAAGCACCCCTCCTAAGAGTTCTTATGGAGGGAGGCCTTGGAGGCTGGGAAGCAGACGACCTGCAGATGCAAAAAAGAAGTTCTGAATCGCAGAATAGGCGAGTGGGATGCGCAGCTCAAGCTCTACTCTACTCTACTCCTTAAGCTTACACTAGCCATGTTAAGAGACCTTGGGCAGTGGACATAGCGGTGCATCTCGTAGTTAAGTATGGCCCCTAACATAATTTCTAATAAGAAAGAAACGTCCATTAATTCTGGGTAAGATTGGCTGCCGCTCAAATACGAGCTACCTTATATGCCACCATATGTATGCTTCAGATGCTTAGGAAATTGTTCTTTCCCACATTGTAGGTATTCCTGGGATTTGGGCGCGTGGGGCAATGCAGAGCTTAAAGGGTTCATGTACGTATATAGTATATACTGTAAGAAGTGTAGATTATGGCTCATATAGGTACATGGACCCTTCCGGGACCCTAAACCCTAAACCCCGGCCCTAAACCCTAAATAATGGTTTCCATTTTCTTTGCCATTTTCCTAATATAACCCCAATATGACCAGCATCCCAAGCCCGAAGTCTTTAATCAACACGTTCTCGTCTCTACGGGGGTGCCAAAGCCTAGTCCCTGAACCAGCCCTAAACCCCAACCGCCTAACCCCCTAAACCCTAAACCCTAAACCCTAACCCCCTAATCCCCCAAACCCCCTAAACCCCTAACCCCCTAACCCCCTAAACCCCTAAAATCCTGAACCGCCGTTAGATTGAGAAGCCCGAGGTGCTTGCCATGGCGAAAGAGGCCAGGGATTGTCTTACAGTGGTTATATTCTAGAGTTTAGGGTTTAGGGGGTTTAGGGTTTAGGGTTTAGGGCGTTTTAGGGTTTAGGGTTATTCTCCCTAAAGGTCCAATGTAGGCATGTGGTATAGATTTGGGGCCCCAAAAGGGTTCCCACAGTCGTTACTTAGGGCGCGAGTATGGATGGACCTTTTGGGCCTAGGGGATATATGGAGTTTAAAGTTTAGCGTTTGGGGTCTCGAAACATTGGGATGCCCTAGCTCAACATGGGATGCGATCTTCTTGTCGTACAGGTATAAATTTTAGGAATTGCTCATGTTCACACAGTGCCTTATGTACATTCTGTTCAGGGTTTGGGACAACAAATAAGGGAACCCCAATATAGACCCCAAAATACTATAGTCCTAATTATTTGGACCCCCAGAAACCCTAAACCCTAAACCCTAATTTTGGGACAATGACCCCCGCTAGCTCACGTGGCTAGGGTCTGGCATGCGAGCGTATCCGACCAAACCTCGCTTGTGTCGAAACATCTAAAACATTCTGGGGACAGTTCAACATAGAGCTTACATGAGCTGTAGTCTAAACTCCTTAAAGGGGGTTATATAGGGGACTATATGGGGCGCTATTATAGGGGTTATTAGGGGGGTACTAGGAGTTTAGACAGTGGCTCACATGATTTTGTGGAGTGTCGAGAATTTGTAGCCCATCATCCGGGATCAAAGGTTGACTGTTGCCAAGAAGCTTTATTGCTGAAGCTCTCCCAAACTTGCTTCCGGAAGCGGGCTGCAGCATCCCTCATGAACATGCGGCGGCCGAGAGTCGCGCCAGGGTTCTGCTTTAGCCTGGATAGTGTTGAGAAGAGAGCGCGCTTGACCACTATACCTCGGGAAATGGGTGGTGACTTCATTTGCCTAGCCACAGACAGACGGCAGCTGCCTAACACACTGTAGCACAGTCTGTGCCAAGAGAGGCCTTTGGAATCCTTTACCTGCTTGGTCTCTCAAGTGCTGTCCGCATTAAGACAGTCTCCCAGGCAGTCGTTGCAGCCATTGCTGCAGGCCTACCTTGAAAATCTGGCTGCGCTGCAAGCTCGCCATACAATGCACTTGTTGGGCGAGATGTTACAGGAAATGCTGCGACGGCTTCTTCGCCGAAGTCCGACCGGCGTGCCAAGTCGCCCCAAATCCACAACACCCTGGCAGAGAGCGCGAAGACACGACAAATGGGTACCCCACTGGCATCGTACCTTTTGAGATTTTCCTTGATTTGCTGCGAAGCCTCCAAAGCACTGAAAAAGACCCTACGAGCTCCTGTCGCATGGAAATCTGCCCCTAAAACCTTTTAGTAGATGGTCAAACCCGGGAACCATCCGAACCTTGAACCCTAAACCCTGAGAAGGGCAAAAACTCAAAAGGGTCTCTCAGTCTAGGCCTTTCAGATTTGCTTTAGGTCGTAAATCAACACCTTCAGCGCTACTTATTCTCTTTCATATTTGACATCTACTTGACATCTACTATGCTACTTATCATCTTGGGGCCCGGCCTGTAGCCTAGCCCTGCAGACAGGTTCCAGAGCTCAAGGGTCTCTGGCTCATGCGCGGCCGCCCTATGGCTGCTGTCGGCGCACCCAGGTCATGTTGCGCTGCAACACGTATCCACCCTGAGGGATCACTATTAGGGAATAGGTGCCAGACAGGTCTATCCGCCCTACGAGGCAGCAGGCTGTAGATTTGTGATGTTTGGTGGAAGAGTGAGCTCAGTGCTCAAGATGTTCGCGCAACTTCAGCTGATGAGGCGCATGTGGAACATACCATGCATGTGCTGACTATTATCCCTGGTAAGAAGTGGGCTGGGTGGCTGTACGATTCAGCGCGAATGTACCGGAGTGAGAGAGGAGGTGCCCGGAGGAATAGTAGAATCTTATGTGGTAGCCATGCTCCTACGAAGCTAAAACTGGTTGTTGTTTGAGTCGTTTTAAAGTATAACCAGGCACACCAAGCCTTCATCTGAAGTTGAGCTACATGCTGCCACTGTCGTACCCCAACGGCTCAAAACTTAGTAGCGCCCGCGTTCCAGCCCCACAGCGTGCCTGACCTCGAAATCATGACCAAGGGAGGCTCCAATCCTCGGGTGGCTCAGGCCATGGCATTGGCTGCCACAGCCACCGCAGCTGGGTCTGCCTTCTGCATGATGGCTCCTCATCTGTTCTTTGGGGCCTGTTGTTTGGGGCGTGTGGGGTGTTTTGGGGTGGTAGGAGGCCCGAATTCCTTTACATTTGCACCAATATTACTCCCATGTTCCAAGCAAGTGTAGATTTGGAGCATAGGGTACGGTCTCAAATAGATCTCAACATGAGATGAATAATTACCCCTGCGTCTACATCAATGAAAAGGTGTTAGCATAGGGGGTTATATGGGGATTCTATACAATTAAATAATGGAAAACTAAACGGAAACTACTGTTCATAAGTTCTAGGCTAAAACCCGTGGAAATCGGACGCCGAAGGCTACCCCGCAGGCGTCGCAGTCGCGCACTGTGACTTTGGCGTCTGGGACCAGCCCAGCTGCCCCTAGCCACGCTGGAGTTGCAGGCTGGGAATATTGCCTCCAGGGATAACCCTAAACCCTAGTCCCTGAACTGTAGAATAATGGGGTTTAGGGCTATGTCCAAAAATATTAGAATAGTTGGGTAGCCCCCCACCTTCAACACCCATCCTGAAATACTGGGTTGTACCCTGGGTGTACTTGTACTTGATCCGGCTTTCCGGGCGGCATCTGCGGGAAAATTGACCTGGGCCAAGTAAGCGGGTTAAGGGTTTAGGGTTTAGGTGCCTTTGGACTGAAACTGCAACGATGAAGGCTTGCATTGCCACTAGAATGTGTAATACCTTCTCATCCCTGGGCAGGAGACCATCGCTCTACATGTCCTTTTTTAAAGTCGGTATGGAATCCATCATGGCTTTTTTAGATTCGTGCCCAACTTGCTTCTGGCCACCCGACGTTCTCCGCAGTAATCTGTCAAAGCTTTGGAGTTTGTGCCCTTGAGTCAAACTAGCGCTAAGCATTCCACATTTCAACCCCACTCTAACAGCCTTGGTGAGTTTGATAGCTCTTGCTTTCAGTCCCTTCAACTTGGCTGCTAGCTGCTAGCCGCGACAGCAGGAGTGACTGGCCTGGTGGGGGCTGGCCTTGTGGCCAGTGCTGCGCTAAGCCGTTCCGTGAAGCCGCGTGCCAAGAGGAGACAGGGGGGTTCAGGGCAGGGTGTGCAGGGTTTGAGGTCTTATGGCGTGGGGTCTATAGAGCGTAGTTTGTAAGGTGTTGGGTCGAAGAGTCTAGGCTGGCAGGGTGTAGGCTTTAGGATGCAGGATTTATGTTTTCATGTCCAAGGGTTACAGGGTTTTGGGGGGATTGCGGTGTCTGCTTGAAGAGGAACCTGGTCTCTATGGCTGCGCGTGGCGGCGAGAGCCTTGATCATAGTGGAAGCATTGTTCGTTTAAAAGTTGTGGCATGTGGCTTAAACCCTAAATGGTGAATTCCATTTTCTTTTCCATTATCCCAATATAACCCCAATAGAACCCTAATATAACCCCTAATACAGCAGAAAACGTGTTTGTTGTTCTCCCATGCATGACCTAGGAGCTACGACGCTCTGATGAAGGACCTTGAGACCCTTGTCAAAGAGAAGGAGTGTGGGCCCATCCTTGTGCGACTTTCCTGGCACGATGCCGGTGTCTTCTCCGACGGGAAGCTGAAGGGCGGCTGCCCCAATGCCGCCATGCGCTTCACTGATGGTGGAGAGGGCACCTTCGGGGCGAATGCCGGGTTGCCAGATGTTGCCCTGGGACTCCTGAAGCCCATCACTGAGAAGTACGTCCCGGGCACCATTGGACATGCAGACCTCTGGACCCTTGCGGCCAACGTGGCCATCAAGGTGATGGGAGGCCCAGATATCAAGACCCGTTTTGGCCGAAAAGATGCGGAGTCCTCGGGTGACTCCGCCGAATCTCAGGCTGGACGCCTCCCAGATGGTGACAAGGAGATCGACCACTTGCGGGAGATCTTCCACCCAAAAGGCTTCACCGACAAGGACATCGTGGCCCTGTCGGGTGCGCACACCGTGGGAAAGTGCCACCTGGATCGCTCCGGCTTCGATGGCCCCTGGACCGAGGCGCCCCTGAAGTTTGACAACTCCTACTTCAAGGAGATGCTGGAGAAGAAGTACGAGGACGACAAGACTGAGAAGGGTAACCCCCAGTTCAAGAACAGCGAGACCGGCACCATCATGCTCATCTCGGACCTGGCTTTGTTGAAGGACCCGGCTTTCAAGGAGCATGTGGAGAAGTATGCCGCTGACCAGGATGCCTACTTCGCAGACTTCACCACAGCCTGGGTCTCTTGGTTGGTGTCCATTTTGCTTCAGGGTGCTTTTCGATTCAGGGGTGGTTGCTTTTGAGCGCCTTTGTAGGGAGGGGGTAAATACGATCCGTTTTGCAACTTACAAACACAGTTACTAAGGTCAAGCTGCAAGAACTCGGTTGCTCAGGTCTGCGAGACAGCCTTGAAGCGAGGGAGAGCGTCAGTGCTTAACAGGTGGGGACTGTAACATCAACATCCCACCATACTTCCTGAAGCTACAGGCTTCTTGACACAGCTTCTAGCTTCTTCGGTCCTAGGCAAGCTGTATTGCGGACCTTACCAGCATGGTATTCCCGAGAGACAGCCTGTGAGAAGCGTCCATTTTCCGCTCGTCCCGTCTCTCATCCACCAAGCCGTGAGGAGTGTGGACATCGAGCGATATTTCTTTCACTTATACGAAGCTGGACTTCACCAGCAGACCAGAGACATCAAGCCAGTAGAAAAGATTCGGACATTCACCAGTCTGTACCTTGACCCCCAGCGCATACACGTTGTGCCGCTGGATTTTTTCCAGAAAATGCAGCCATTTTATATGGAACATAGTAGAGGCTCTGGGCAACCCATCTCAGCTGCCTTTTTTTTGGTGGGAGGGGGGGGGCTCTTTTCCCGACGCCCAAAACCATACTCCCTAAATCCTAGACCCTAAACCCCCCTAAACCTTAAACCCCTAAACCCTAAACCCTAAGACTGATTTTTTTTGGTTGCAAGACTTGTATGCCCATACCATCAACACCCAACAAGAATCACAAAGCTCTGGCTTGCCATTGCTGTTGTCATATGAGATGTAGTCTTAACTCCTTAAAGGGGTTTAATTTACGGGGGAGTATTAAGGGTTTAGGGTTTAGGATCTAAACTCCTTAAAGTGGTTTATACAGGGGGATTATTTCGGGAAGTATTATGCAGGTTATAAAGAGGGATACTAGGAGTTAAGCCTATAGCTCATATACTAGCCCAGTAAGGAACAGAATATAATAGCAGTTTAATGAGCAACCAGTATTTGGAGGTT